ATTATAACAACAGCCGGTGCTGTTTTGGTGGGACTTAGAGAACAAGTCATTGATGTGATGACTAATCAAATGGGGATCACAACCAGTGTGTGTGTTCGATGAAGTGACGATCACACCTTGGATATATAATTGTTGGTGACGAAGCCAGTGTTTTGATTTTGCTTTTGGTTTTGGAGTCATCTCAGCCGTCTGCATCCGGCAACAATGTTGAAATTGCAAATCCATCAAAACCACAAAAGGACTAGAGATTACCAATTACTCAACATTTGCGACTTTTCCCAGAAAGATATATAGAAAAATCTATTAGAATCTACCAATCAATCTTAAATTTGGAATTTCTAGAATAATATAATTCTAGACTTGTTTCTTTCATTTGGAATGTTATATTGCTATATGGGTATCAATAAAAATGTAATGGTCATTAAAATTATAAAATATTATTTTTTAAAATATTAATTTTGTTTAATTTAATTCATATAAATGGTTAATATAATTATTAAAATAGTTGATATTTATTAATTAATAAATTAAAATTAATTAATTAATTAATATTTTCTGACATTATTTAAAAAATTCAAATTTTAGTAGTCTTAACATTTTTTATGGTATAAGTATAACAATAACCACACATATATTTCAAACTACACTATATTTACTAATTTCTTGTTTAATATTGAAGTTATTTAGTATAACAGTTTGAAACTAGTAATTAATAGTTTTATTTAATTTGACAATTAATAATTATTATTGTTAATAATGTAAATACTCTCATTTATTGAATTAGATAAAATTATTGATTGTTAATTTTAAATTGTTATACCAAACCATCTCATTATTCCATTCTCTTTAAGGATTATTGTTATTTGGTATTGTAACTTTTGATCGTTTTCATATAATTTTTGTTGTCATTAAAAATTATCTTAGTTTGCATTAGAATAACATATAGGCAGTAATTACGCAGTTGGTACATTTTGCATCAAAATTAGCCCTTTTGTTTTTAAATTCTACTTAGAGAAAAGGTCCAAATAAAAATATTAATTTTATAATTTTTATTTAAAAATATTAACTTTTTAATTTTTATATAATAATATTAATTTTTAACTTTTTTATTTAAAAATGTCTACTTTTAATTTTTTTTATTTAAAAATTAATCGAATGATGATGTTGACGTGGCAAATAAAATTTTTAATTGAAATACTGAAAGTTAAAATCATTAAATAAAAAAATTAAAAATTCATATTTTTAAATAAAAAATAAAAAATTAGTATATTTATTTAATAATTAATATAATTAATATTTTTAAATAAAAAAATTAAAGTCCTTAATTACACCTTTTTTCCCTAACAATTATACCAGAGGTTTCAGATGTAACTCTATATGTATCAAAAGAATGGGATTCTTTTTAGTCAAGATTATTAGTACAGGTTGTTGGCATTCCTCGAAAATGAAATAGATTTTCTTCATCCTAGATAGTGGAGGTATTAATCTCGTTGAAAGGGATTGCCTTAGATGACATTTCACCGACTGCTCAATTTAATTTGTGTATTGAATTATTAGACAATATCCGATTGGTTGCATATCCATCATCATTAAGATGAGATGAACCTTAATTGGCTGGAACTTGAAGCCATACATCTCAGCATCATTGACAAGCTTTCCGCTCACAATTTTGTTGTTGCTTTTCCTAACAACTTTAGATTATATAAGCCGCCCAGAGCACCATGTCTAATATCTTATTAATTTGTTCTTGAAATAAGTCAATAAGTTCGGAGCTAATGTGCATCTAATCAATAAATTCGAAGGTTTAATTTGGATTTCTCATTATAAATCTTTTTCTAATTAGAGTCAAATTAAAAACTTTAATTTAAAGCCTCGTATTCTTATTATATTAAAGCAGCACTTAGAAACTAATATGTGCTCGGTGCTTAGTTATTTTTTAAATCATATTACATTGTAAACTTTTAACATTAATTCTTCTTAATTAGATGATCTTTCATCTTTTTTCTTTTATGATATTTATCCCACAATTTTCCCACTTACACGTGAAGAGCAATTTCCATGAAAGGTACGTGTGATTTAACATTCTGTACTAAGTACTATATGGATGGTGGATCCACATTACAAAAGCACCATTAACAAAGTGATTTTATATTGCTATAATATTTGTAGTATTTATCTTCTAACTTCTAAGAGTACGTTGTGGGTCATGGCCAGAGAAATTAAATCCGTCCATTTGGATATGATAATAAGTACTAGGAATTAAAAAGCAATTTTATTGCTTATGGAAATAGGGAGGAATTGGATTAGACACCATTACTAAGTACTTTTGTTGACCTAATCACAATTTGTCTACATTTGAGTTTTTAATTTCAAACCTTAATTTATTTTAGGGGTGGTACTACAATAACAATCTTTTTTTCTCACCTTTTTATATAACTTTCATATGTCATTAAATGAGTGGATGCATTCAATATTACAGGTCTCATATGAATTAAAAAAATCAATTATTTTAATGATACATTAAGTTGTACAAAAAAATGAAACAAAAAAATTATACAAAAAGCATTTCCCTTATTTTAGTGTCAATGCCACCTATATATCCCCCACTAATTGAACATATAGGACCATGCCAGGAAAAAATTTAATTAATATTCAACTAGACCACTTATAAAACTCTTATCATTGCTTATATATATATATACACACACACACATGAGGCTAATGGACATTCATAAAAATTAATTAAAAAAAGAGTTCAAATATAGAATATTAAGGAGATTAAGTATCTATTCATTATTATTAATTTAATTATACCTAACATGAAAGGATGGTGCACTTCTACTAATATAATGCTAGTTCAAAACTTCAAATCCCCCATCCCCTAAAATTTGCACTTGTTCCAAAAAAGAAAAAACTTGAAAATAATATAATTATAATATTACATGATATTATAAGTTTTTTTAGTACATTCAATGACAAGTTATGTAAAAAGAGGAATAGCCTTTTTTTTTTCTCAAATCCCTTCTCATTATGCTTAAGATTCAAATATGAGATATTTAACTTAAAATCTCTAATTTTTAACTAGTTGAGTAATTCCTTTTGAAGATAATATTGTAAATTTATTAACGTGTTATAATATAATTAATTTAACTTATTTAATAATATATCATAATTAAAATTTTATAATCATACATTTCATTGTCATTGTAACTATATTATTGCTGTAAAAAAAAACCTCACAATATATGTTGGTGGCTGGGATTGAAGAATTGTAGAGCAATGTAGACAGCCTCAGTTAGCAGCTACCCTACATTAATGATAACACATGCAGTTATGTCTTAACTTGAAGGAAGTGTTGGCAAAAACTTTAGCCCTTAAGCAATGCTGATTTTAAAGAAGCACATGTTTGGCTTGCTTGGTCAATGCCCTCTTTATTAACATATGTAATTGTATATAGCATAGCACACAATTTTGATTAGCCAAGATAATATAAATTAAAATTTTGCTTCGTCAACACCCTTTTGCTTTAAGCAGCTATGTGTACAATTTTGTTTGACAAGAAAGGCAAATGATGCCATTTGTAGTGTTTTTTTTTTTTTATCGAACAAAGGGAAATTTTTAAAAGGAGAGTGAGTATACAGTAACAGAATAAAATTCAAGTCATTATGTTCAACCATACCTTTCAAAAGATAATCACTAAACCATCAAGGGTTGGATGCTATTTGTAGTGCTTTTAGATTATATTAAAAGTAAAAAATTTATATATAATGTTTTATGACTACAATCTTTATCTTGCTGACTAATGTTCTAACTTTTACAGAGGCTGAGTACAACATTTTAAAAAATAAAAAAAAATTTAGAGTACAGCATTTTTTCCATTAAGAAAATAGTGTTCAATCTTTCTCCTCTGTGCTGAAGTGCGTTAGTGTAGATCGCAATTAATTGGACTCTGCCATTTACAAAAAAATAAAATAAATAATAATAATAATAATAATAATTGGACTTTGCATGGGTTATTCAAGGCCTGAATTCTACCCCAATTGGAACCCAAAATTAGGCCCAACCTTCTTCAGAAAGACAGAGACCAACCCATCTCAACATGAGCAGGAAAAGAAAAGATCACAGGTCCACTTGCGGCCGTTAACGCCTTAAAGGTCATGTTTGGTAAATCAATTTCCAGGTTGTTTTTACCGGAAGCCGTGAGCCCCACAATCAATTATTATTATGGCTTAGGTCAAGAAAATAAAAATCCTGACAAAAAAATCAAAATAAAAAGTAATCAATTATATTTTACTTTAAAACTATTATCTATTAAAACATAACCGATTACTTGCAATATAATTGATCACAAAATCATGAATTTTTTCATTTTTGGATAGGAAACAATATTCAAGCATTATAATCAATTATAAACATTATAATTCACTACTTCAAGTATTTATTTTCCTAGTACACATTTCGATACTTTAGTTCACAATCTTAGTTTAATGGCTAGACTTTTCCCATAATTTTTTCCTAAAGAAGTTTGGAACCAAACACGCCTTAACGACCAAATCCCCACGTCCGGTCTAGTGGCCTTAACCTTTGGTGTCAGTGGGATCAACCTTCTGTATGTGTGTGTTCAAGTTCCACGGATTACATTCCTTATTTTTCTTAATTATCCTGTTAAAAAAAAAAAAACCATGCCTTAACGGTCAAATCAAAATGAGGAAATACTGTCAAGAAATGAAAAATAATAATAATAATAAAAAGGAGGAACTTCGACGAGAGAGATGAGCCCAAGAGAATACCGGATATTGAAATCTATTCACTCGACCAATTCTAGTTCTACTCAACGCTGTGAGTCAACTCAATGATTTAGCACATTCATTAAGTAATTAATTTGTACAATCCAAGGTATGACAAAAAAAAACCCATTATCACCTTCATCATGCTGTTCATGTTGCTGTGCTGCCGTACAAGCACCGCACATGGAGTGCCTGTAAACCCCAGCTTTTCTGCATGTGTTGAGGCAATCATCTGCCCTTATTCAATGAATTCCCTTCTAGGAGATTGTTTTTGGGTGGTGAAGATAGACCGGTATTTTTATTTTCATTGGTGTCCACTTTCTGGGGTGTGATCTTGATGAAGGTAGGTATGAGGTGACATTGCTCTTATCTGGAGAGGAATGATAGTGCCGGTTTTGAGAGGTGAAGTAAAAATTTACTTTTGCATGCCATCATGTGTGTCAGAAAATCTGCTGCAACAACTTGCTAGCTTGAGTGCTAAAGAATTTTTAGGCTTGGAAGAATCGACCACTGTGACCATAGCTCAACGAGTCAATGA